GCACATATTCAGCAACAAAATAATAATAATCTCCCTTCTGTTCAAGTTTATATTCGGTTCTAGGAAATGTGTTCAAAGCCTCAGCGACTCTGACCGCGCAGTAACACCCTTAAAGAAAGGGGCTATTATGCAGTGCAACAATAATGCCAATGAGGATACGGCTTATATACGTCGAGACACGTAAGTGGACGTGAAATATCTACAGAAACCAGCACGTCTTTCATCCTGATGCTGACTCAACTAATTCTTTTAATTTGACTTGGCTTATAAAAACTGAACTTCGTAGAAGTTGAAGACCTGCCACAACTACGAAGTGCTACTGGGTGAATTCTAATTCAATACACTCAACTGTTGGTATGCCTGGGTCCTATACACAGCAGCACCTATTATCAACATCTAATCATTCTGTCACGATCGAATTCCGGGTTTTGAATCGATGGCAGCCTATTTGTTATTGTTACGGACAGGTAACAGCAGACGTTAATAAATAAAATCTGAGCCTGCAGTCTGCGCAGGATACATTCGAGCTAATGAAGGTGGAAGTGTAAGATGAACTCACGAGCCTACGCACCACAACATGAATACACAGGGGAGGGAAATACGTGCATTCTGGCCTCGACACCGAATGTGTGGGTAGCTTCGCGCTCCAACCGTTTTATACCGGTACATACGTAATAGGAGACTGACAGGCGTTTGAGACAGTTTGGAAGTGTCGGCAAAGAAAAAATCATAGTCTTTGCCCCTAACTGTAATAAAATTCCGGAGTCAAGCCTAAATAATGAATTTTACAGACTCAGCTACATAAAGTCCAGTAGGTTTCCCCATGTATAAATCGGTGGAAGCGTGGGTCTAACCACTAACCTCACACGTCTTCAACTTAAAATTTACGGCAGGCATTGGGCCCTAAATACAAGTCTGTTGTCATGTATGATTTGAGGTTTTCACAGCGGTGAGTATGAAGATTTCTGTCTTCTGGGTTGTTGCGCCGTGTAGTCTGGTCGATGTTAACCAACGTTTCAGAGGTCATACTGCCTCCGTCATCAGGGCGATGAAGATTTCTGTCTTTTGGTTTGTTGCGCAACAACTCAGAAGACAGAAATCTTCAAGTCTGTTGCCATTTCCAACTCCAGGCATTTAAAGATTAGGCAGGATAGAAATCCAAGACGATCTGAACAACACAAAATACGATTACACGTTTGCTTCTAGCGTGACAGGGCACCCCACATTTCAGTCGGCATTTGACGAGATCCTCGAGTTATAGAATGTTCATAGTGGACTGCAGAATTGGCCACTGCGGTCACCAGATATCAATCCCCTTATATCACCATACATGGGGTTACATGATAAACATGGCGTATGAACGCAAAATAAACAGAACAGATGAAATAATTACATCATTTAATTTTCGATATTGCAAGACGCATTAACGACCCTGACACTGTAAGTTTCAAATCACCTTGGATTTCAAATATCCGTAGCTCCGTAACCGCTGATAATCGCGCATAAGTTCATATAATATTTCTGACTGGGAATGAAGTCAAGTACAAGATTCTGGAGAGCTGACATATAATCACCGGACACTCCGAATTCATATATTACTTCTCTATTTCAGAAAGTTAAGTTATGGTCTTGCACGAGACATCAGGCCAATGTCTTAAATTTTGCCTCAAAACTTTTACTCCTTCCATCTTCTCATCATCTCTTTTCTTTTTAACAATAGACAAGTCGTCGGTTTCACAAAAAAGACACCCGTAAGATCGGTAAATCAAATTTAGCACAACTGTTATCTGTATAATAGATTGATATTGAAAAAAAAAGGTTGTGAAAATGCGAGGTATAGATGGATCTGGCTCAGAATTCTTTCTAGTGGCTGTCATTGATATTAGTGATTCTGAACCTCTAGATTCAATTGCCAGAGTTGATAAAATTAAAATTAACTAAACAAGTCGAACACTTTTAAAATTTCGAGACTAAAATTTGTTTCCTGTTTGTTAACTATCAGCGGAGAAATGTCGCAATCGATTACAGTTTTGAGGACAAATTACAGGACTAGTCAATCAAAGATTTTACAGAGTGGAACCAAAATGTTTTCAATATGTCAAGCAAAAATTTTATAACAACTTGCACATTTATTTTTTGATTAAGTGTCGGAAATATTTATATTGGAAAATTTCGTGATATTTCTTAAAGTTCATATTTATAAACGAAGTCTAAAATTGTTTACATTTCAGAGTTTAAGTAAATGGTATTAAATAGACCATGTTCTGCCTTAAAGTATGCTTGTAGGTTGCAGAATTAAGATTATGATTGATACGGACGATTGATTTGATCGACACTGGTATATTTTTAACGGCCAACTAATTTCTGTTTAAATGACCCTGAATTCTGTCAACCACTGCACCAACCCACTCCATTACCGCCTCCACCACCAACAGTTCCCACAATGGCCATCTCTGCCATAACTACTACCATCATCATTGCCACATCCAGCTTTAATCATGCAAGAAATATCAAGTCTCAAGTAGATATTAGCGTCTTTAAAAGTAACCCCATATTTGTGTGTTGATGCTGCAAGATCCCAATCCATCAAGCTTCCCCCGTCCAGTTTATTATGACAGAGCCACAAAGCACCTCCACTGGACGTCCACTTACACGTCTTTATCATAATAATAAAGAAGTAGCTCTCAAGTGGAGGAATCTTTGTTGAGTTGCTACAATGAACAAGCGGCCTGCAGAATGCTACAGCACTGAATACTGCACAGAGCTCTTGTCGTCATGGCAACCAGCCGTCACATCACTTCGATATCGACAAAGATTATCTCACTATACGTACCTACTCGTTATCACCAATATCGTCGATGATGAATATCGTTGTTAACTATTTGTATACGTATGTCTGAACATACGCGACATTCTTGTTAGGATTATTACACCACTGTGTAACTCTATGGAGCAGGGTCCGTGAGAAGCTAATAGTCACTCAGCCAGTCAAACATTTCCCCGCCTTTCATGAAACCAAAAATTTCATTACATAACTCTACAAAATTAATACTTCTATTTGATGTGTACGCAACGCATGGAATGCACTGTGAAGAATCTTTCAATAGCATTAGCCCTTAAATAGTGTTCCATATCTCATACATCATTACAGAACAACCTTAATTTTTTTTACGAAGAATGGTTATTCTTTGGTAAAGAGTATTATCCTCGTCTTATTAGAAAGAGAAAACTACGCTTCTAATTCCATCGCCATGCTTCATTCAATCCCGTATGGTTTCTGATACACACATACAAAGATTCGCTGGAGAATAATAATGCTCGCCGACTTGCATTCAAGACGCCCTGCAGAGAGGAAACTCTCCAGGACTTCGTATTTAATATCTTAACTAAGGTTGAATATAAGACACCTGGGGAGACCGTTGTTACTGTATCTGCCGTACTAGTGTTCACAGACGGTAGTTTCACGGTGGCTTTGTTGCAACCATCACTCAAGACACTTATAGCAATTCATTTGGTCCATTGTAATTCATCTTCGTTGGTAGGTTTTAGAAACGATCATTATAAAAGTTTAACAATGGGATGGATGGAATCATACCAGTAAAAAATTTCTCATATTGATATCGTATTATTTTATCACTTTATAAAGAATTTTGTACGCCAGGATAGCCGATTTCAAAGCACAGACTCAAAACGAAGGCCTGTAGATTTCGAAGCAGTATGGATTATCTTCTGTTAAGTTCCGGATTACATTCACTTTTAAACATTTTTTTCATCGCCAATTTTAATATTCCGGTCACTAGGTCTACTCATTTGACCCGTTAGTGATAAATGTAATTAATATTTTGAAGCCGAAATTCAAAGAAATAACAATTTTAAAAAAATGTTCTTATCGCAAACAGAACACAACGTTTCCATTACAAAGATGAGTTTGTTAATGCTGTTTAAAGAAATTGTTGTTTACCCTGAGAATTACACGGGACTCAAAATACACTGTATAGGTCAGACTTATTAATGTTAAATGTTAATGCAGGTGGTACCATTAATTACCACTGGGGCTGAAAGTGTTAAATAATTGCACAAATACGTGTAGTTATTTAACATAATTAACTTCATGAAGCAGAGACCTTTTTGAGTAGTCGTTACGTAATGCAAGATATTTCCTGCTTTTATATAACCCGACAGTTTATTGGCCTGTTCACAAAAGCCAGTCACTGACACCTGTCCTCAGCCATGAAAATGAGCCCACATCCAACTCTATTTCTTTAAGAGCAATTTTAATGAATTTATAATTATCATTAAAATATTATGGGGTCAGAAACCAACCATTGTCGTTTGTCCATAAAATGATAATCTGTCAATAGAGTCTATATGAAGAAAAGACTAAATCTCTCAAAACTTTGTGTAAATATACAAAACATATAATAGTTTCATCTATTATAATGATATCTCCGACTGCCCTATAAAGCGCTGGATAGATGGAATAATAATAGTTCACTTACTGACGACCAAATACCTATGTTATGTGATGGCTTCGAATGGCTTCAAACATATTTTGGTCCGTCTGGCTGTACACTTTACACAGCCCTGATATACAGAAGTCAAGGTACGTGTCTGCTAAGCTGAAAGAAGTTGCAGTGAAAGGATATGGGAATGAAAAGGAAGATATCTTTAAATTGAGTTCTCGTTTTCCTGTGAGTGACAGAAGCAAACCCAAACAAGGTAGCATCTCTCAGACTGGCATGTCATGTTTCTAAATAGGAGCTTCAACACGGTCTGCTACCTTGGTTACACAAGCAACTATAGTTCGGGCATTAGCCGTCTGGCGCCTGGCATGAAATAGTGTTTAATTGGCAGCTCTGGGAAAACACAGGCAGGCCTTAACCTTTACCGATGTCGACTTCAAGACGAATGTCTCCAAAAAGTGGTTTAGACCTGTTTAATGGTTCACGTAGATTCAATTAATGATGACAGCGTTCCTTTATTATAATGATATAGTGATTCTCATTTTAATTCAGCTACAGACATAGTCACATCAAATAATGTCTCTGCTCTCACATCGTGATCTAGTTTGTCGTCTCTTGAAATCGTTTGGTTGCGTTAATAATTTATCTGTGATCTGAAAACATACAAATATTATTATAAGTTTTTATCGTTACTCTAGTGTGTTTATTGTTAATGGAAGATAATCGATGTATCCCACATAATTAACATTTATCATGTTAAATAAAATGAGTGTCATTAAAATAGTTTTCAGAAAAGCAAACCTCTTGGTGAAGGGAATGTGTCCAATTTCCTGAGAAATAAAATGGCTGTTAGAACGGGAAATGGACCCAGTATTTACAATTTTAGGAATCAAGCAGAGTTCGTACGGATAACCTAAAGCTTAAAGTTATTGTTAATTTTGCGCATCGTCTGTTCCTTTCATATAATCTAAAGTTCGATATATGTACCACTTATTTTATTATTTTGAACTTTGTAAATAGTCTGTTGGAATTTTTTAAAATACCTTAAAGAATTTCAACTTTTCTAATATGTCTCCCTCCATATCAGATGACGAAGAATAAACCGAAGGAAATTTAAAGTGTCCAGCAGACGAATAAACTCCAATATAAAGAAATTAGTTATATAAAAGCATGGCCAAAGACATTAGCAGAGAAACTGAAATACGTATTTAATTAATCTCGTTACCGAAACTGGGTACACGTTGATACCAAAAATAGGATCCTTTTTTCAACTTAATAAATTCGTGAGTTTTTAAAAATCAACTGATTGCTAATATTTGCATGTCTATGGATATCGGTATATGAATACCCTTAAAAATTCAGCTGGAGACCAACGAATATAGGAAATAAATAACAAAAAATGAACTTTATGGTTAAAAAGTTACATTAAATGTTAAATATGCAAAATGGTGCAAAACTCAATACATCATTGACATGAAAATGCATGTAAACCTGAGTTTTCTTACGATTTTTCATTTATATTAATTGCTATCTTTACAAGCACATTACATACATTTTTTATTACACATTTAAAATATCCGCTTCTATGGTGATAAAACTCTGCAGCTTGAATGACCAGTGTGTCCTGACATTTTCGCCATTCTGTGTAACATAAACGAAGGCGAACATCAGGAGTATCAAGTCTAAAGCGGCGTTACTTATTTCCGGTTGCCATGGGATATTAAAATAGAGACGTTGAAGTGTTTTAAATCTCGGGGTGGGAGGATGATACGTCGTAAGTGATAAAACATAACTGAAAGACCGTGGATCATAATTAAGAAATTATATCCCCACTGACATGGTCCAATGCCTGAGGCGTGCTTCCTATAACCAAGTTTTGGCATTTAGCTATGTCGTTCTTCAAATCACTGGTTATTTGGTAGTACCATACATTGCCAATAGTCTATTCAAAGGGATCCAGGTCAGATTTCGACTGTTGTCACAATGCTCCAAAAATGAAATCAATAAAACACATGTTAATATGACAACCAATCAGTCAACGCCGAACGTCATAAAGACCTCGCCTAGAATGATGTACAACATCCAGCAGATAAGAACAGCGTGTTATCCGTTGCTCCTTAATGAAGTGTTGACGTTAGACATGTGGCGACAACCATCAGCACCGTTGACTTCTGTCTCATTAAAAGATGGAATATTTTCTTTCCCGTATTTAAAACATTTTTACATATTTGTTGACTCAAAGTCAACTGCAATAAACCTGATTTCAACTCGTAAACATACAGAGAATGATTATCTCTGATAGAGGTCAGCTTTCACCTGGAAGCAGTACTTCATTGTTCTTGAGTCAATCTTCATTAGAAACCTTCATAGCAGGGATCGCCAAACGTATGCCCGCGAGTACCTTGGTTCACTTAAAAGGGTTTGGTGTGCCCGCAAGAAAGTTATATTAACTAAGTAGGATTTGAAGTTCTCACGGCGGTGAATATAAAGATGACTGTCTTCTGCCTCGAGATACTATCTTCTTGAGCCAATTCGTATGCCAGATGCGAAAATACAATTGTAATGTAATTAATAAATTCGCATTTATTTACATTTATACGATTCCCTCTATATATTACACAATCTCCTTCTAGTTACCCGTCATCTATGCAAAATTACAGTCTCTGCTTCAGAGACTAAGTTAATAATGAATTAAAATTCCACATACAGAAGTAGGATATGAAGGTGAAATGGAATAATCTGGCTCAGTGACAAGCTTTTGTGATCACGGTCATAAACATTCGGATTCCATTAGAAGGCGGAGAATTTTTCTAGACCCCCATGAGCTAGTATTGGGCTCCCAAGAAGGACGTAGTTATTTTTGTCCTAACGGAAGGGACAGTTCGGGCCTGAAAACTAGTTTGCCCGTCCCTGCTTAGTGTACGTCATGCACTGTTGAACCGTGTTGGCGTTTCTTATTCTTCTTCTTCAAAGAAAATAACGTCACAATAAAGTTGTGAGAAGTTGTGAGACCATATGAATATAGTACTGAAGTAAGCGAACGAAATGCCTGACACGTTAAGAATCATTTCTGTACCTTTATCCCTTGAGCCACGAACCTCGAAAGACAAAGCAATAATGCCACTTTTGCACAAATACCGCTTTACTTTTGTGTCACAATGTTGGTGATGCACAATTGCTTAGAGGAAGCATATAAGTGTAACATCTTCGTGAATTACAACTAATCTAAATATAATGATTCATTTAGAAACGAGAAAATAAATAAACAGTCCCGGATCCTGACACGATCACATGATAGGAAGTACAACTAAAACATCAAATGCAATGACAGTCTGCTGTCCAGGGACCAAGCTGACTAAATCTTTGTGATCACAAGACGCTGGAGTGTAAGTGTAGGATGTGACGATCATGACAAATTTTGCCGTAATTATACTATAATACTCTTAAAAATAAAGTATCCTACCTTAACTCTATGGAGAACAGTCCTTCTTGAGAAGGTAATGGTGGTTCAGGCAGCTACAAAATATCAGGGATTTTATGGAACCCGAAATTTCATTTTCGTGTTCAAAATTTTCAACAAAATTCGCAAATTCCTATAGGGACATGAATGTACGGAATAACGACTAGATATGACTTTCATGGTTTGCGCTTGCTTAAACTTTGTGAAAGAGCGAAATATATAACATCTGAAAGGCTGTAAATAATACAAGGGACATTTCTAAAAATTACTACTACGAATGTGGCTTTTATCTGCACCAGTTGCAATGGACGTTAATTATTTCGAACTGATGTCTAATAGCATTATTATATAAACACTTTGTACCCGTTTCCTTAAAAAGGATAAAAAAATCCTTTCATTGTCCGTAATGGTGATGGACTTCTAACAATAAGGCAATTTGTAGTAATTAAAGTTTTACAAAATCTCATTGATAGTTTATAAATTGATAAGTACCCACTTGGACATAAGCACTCAAATGGAATAAATACATCGCACATATAAGAAACAAAAGAATGAGACATGCGCCATGATCAAGTCATCGCATTATCATTACCAGTATAATAATGCCAGTACATGACATCATTTATTACGTCAGCAACACCTCCATTGTAACCGGTAGTAATGTGGAGTAGAAGGGGGGTGGTAGTGCCCTGAGCTACTGAGAAAATACCCTAACATCACGCGCATAGATGCTCATCTGTCACCATTACGGCAATGCCACATCACGTGACAACTCAATTAGGTTCCTTTTTCTTCTGTTCGGTGTATTGTATGTTGCTATGAAACGTGCAGACGGAGTGATGCTGTTAATACTAGTTTAGGCTGGCTGTTCATAGGTGTGAAGGCTAGAAACCAGCTGGTAAAAGAATTCACCTCCTCTGCCAGGTCAGTTACTTTCTACAAAGATGGACGACCGGTACCTTCTACATCCTGTACGCCAGCGATGGGTTCCAATCTTATTCTCGTCTTCCACTTCTTACTCTCGGTTTAAATAATTAACTTCATATTCAGTGGCCCCACAGGTTGCAACAATTTTAATCTTAAATTAACTTCTTTAAGGCGAATACGCTAAGGGGTTTTCCAAAAATCTTATTCTACAGTCAATTCAACCGAAATGTCTGGTTAAGTTGGATGCCTTCTGGTTTGTTGCGCTGAGCAGTTTGGAAGAAGTTTTCAGAGGTGCTTGACTGCTTCCAGCCCTTGGTCATCCTTGCCGCCATGAGAAGCTTAAATCTCACCGAAACGTCTGTTGCTGCTAGTTTAAGAGTTTATTTGGGGGCTTCGGTGCAGATAGAAAGTTGATATTAATATGGATCATAAAGAAAATATGGAACTTTGGACTAAGTTTATCCGACACAGACTATGGAATATTGGTGGGTTGTTATGAACATGGCAGTGAACCTTCAGATGCCATGAAAGGCAAGAAATTTCTTGACCAGCTGAGTGACTATTAGATACAGCAGAGTAACTGCATGAGGTTACTTTACTGTCGTCGAAACTGCACAGCGATCAAAAACACAGAATAATTATGTTAAATACGATAAAATGAATGCCATTTTAATTAACTCAGAACAAACCTTCTTTTGTTAGCTGCAGGCTTATATCAGTTTCCGGAGAATACAAACGATTTTTAAGATAGAAAATTAAAATAAATTGATCTTACTGAAGTATAAGGAAGAAGAAAGACTACAGAACATTTTCGTGCAGAGATGTTATCCTAACTGTGGTTTTCCTATCAACAGCGGAGCGAGAGATATTGTTAAATGAACCAGGGCAACAACAGTTATTTAATAGTCATGAATAATTCTGGGCACAGCACGAAAAATATTGAGAATAAAAGTTGTCACGAACTACAAAACGTCAGGGGAGGTTAGTTTCATATTTAGTTTTAGAAGTATATTTTAATTAATTCTTTAATATTATGCATAATCATAAATGAAACAACCTTTAAATGTTAATACTAAGGTAGCTGCCACTGGGAAAAGATGACTATTATGTTTTCTATTTGGGCTGTACATTTCTAACTTTCGTGCATTTTCATTTAATGTAAATCTTCTGAAATAAAATACTATAATCACAGCGAAAATTTTCTTTTTACTTACATAAGATTTTTCCTTCTAAAGCTTACTTCATTTGTGTTAATAAGCTGAGCAT